AGTAGATATAAATTTCCTGCTTCTTCACACGTACAGGCCTTTTCCACTCTCTCCACTTCACCTGTGCCACAGTAAAAAGTCACACTATATATCCACATCCACCTGAAATCGTAGCACAAATGTATGAGAAATATTACATAAGTGGCGAAATTTCAACACACACTGATAAAGACGCATTGCTACATTTTCTGAGGGGAGGAAAAATGTTTAATTGTGTCATTTATTAAATTGTCGTAGAACCAGTACATGGCAGAATGAGAAGGAAGGAAAAAAGTGAGAGACACACGACAACTCCACTAATCTCGTGAAATGTTCTAGTCAAGGCTACAAATTTTCTATATAGAGTTACCCAACGACGTGCCAGCAATCATATAATGTCATATAGAAGAAAAAAAGCATACCACAATGATAAACAGCATTCAAATTGTAAACTCTATCAAATTTCCATTGAAGACAAATTGGACGCATAATGTCACATTAACCATTATCCCAGTTACGGACACAAAAGACCGCAAAACAGCTGAATAATAATTATACTTTTTCATTCAGCAGATAAACGCGCGAGTGTCAGTATTTCGGAGCACCTTCGCTTCTGCTAATTTGGTGTAACTTTGGTAGGTGAGACAAGCGCTGACATACGTGATCGCGACAACAATTGATATTTCCTCGAAAATATTGATATTAATGAAATTTCTTTTAGCACTGTTCCGCTTATGGGGATTTTAGTGCACTAAATGTCCAAAATCGCCCTAGAAAATCCATTATCAGTCTGGGTTGTGACTCTAAATCAAGGTGAAAAGCGTATCTAATGTAGGAAATATCACTGATGGATTCACGATTAGAGCCAAGCCAAAGATTAGTGATAGTGCAAATGTTCAATAGTCGTAAATTTCACGATAATCGTAAAATACTTGTGAAGTAGGGAAAATCTCAATGTGAGTAATCTAAAATATTTAACAAGTGATAAGTGGCATCAGAATTTGCATTAAATTTTCACAAAGCGCCCAGCGAAAGGAGAGTTTTGAGACTTTTATTAATTAAACCGTGCTTGTTTGCCAAACATGACGCGTATTGATTTTTAGTCCGGTTCTTAAGGCTGGTCAATGTAAACACGTTAATAATTTTGAGTCTTGGCTAATAAATTATTAAAGGCAAATTAAATTGTGTTTTCCCCATAAGGAGAGACATGCCAAACACGAAAATATTTATTTATACAATTTCCTGTGCAAACATCGCAAAATGGAGCCTCTGAAAAATGCCTGTGAGATAAGTCATTAATGTGGCCGAAGAGGAAAACCCCGCAAATTTTAGCACTTTAGAAAATCAGAAAATTATAGAGCAGAACTTTCGGCGATGTTCTGACGCAGAAGCACGCGTCACTGTCTCGAATAGTCAGAAAAAATTGCCCACATTCAAATTAAATATTTTTGCACGGTGTGCTGTAACTGATGGAAAATTTATATTTAAATTATGTTGATAAATGTGTGTGATGGAGGGACAATCCCAAAAATGGGAGCATTGTCACGCAAAAGTGTAACAGCCTTGAGGAATTGGTATTATTTTGTCATATTTCATTAAACACTTTGCGCGTAGTACGACGCGAGAAACATGGCTGATATTTGCTCCTCACATTAGTCCCGATTACGTAAAAACATCAGATAAAAACGACAATCTCATTGAACAGCACTTTATCGATATATAGTAAAACTGCGTTGTGAATTAAAATAGTGCGTATTATTTTGACGAATTGTGTGCTGCAAACTTTCCTTTCCAAAGTCCGCGAAATCTGCGAAAAATGGCTGTTATTGCTCGACAACTCTTCTTTCATGCCGTGAAGAATGTGCAGAGAAAAAATATTCCACAAATTCTTTGTCTCTTAGAAATTTTATGACGACAGAAAAATATATATTACGCTAAAATACAAGACGTTGATTATCATCTATTTTTGTGTACACACAAATATCTCGACCACAAGTAAAACTGTCGAGAAATGTGTAAGACGCTCATTTCTTAGCTCTTATATATTTCCCTGGCTCAAATATAATGTACAGCGATTCCTCTCAACAGCCATTTTTTCCCTCTGCTTCTACACGGGGATTTGAGCAAAAATTAGAAAACACTACCGTTTTATTTCACTTATGTGACACGACACAGACCATTTGCGAATGTTGACGAAGAACCACCAAAAATGTTGGTGTGCAAATTCGCTACACGCTTTTTTTCCTCCACTTCTCTAGTCCTACGCGACTGCACGAGTTTTCTCAACTCCATCCCAATTGCGTCATATATTGTCGTAAACAATTCATAATAATAAACACATCTCCTATGAAATATATGGATACGAATTTGGTGGAAGCCAGCGAAGGTGCGCGATCGTGAGGAAAAGTACAGAAATGCGTGTTTGGGAGAAACAAGGGGCCAAAAATGACCATGGAAATGGTGTATTTTTGGGCTGAATTCAATCCCATTAGAAGTAAACAAATGGCTGGTGCGGGATTAACAGAAGTAAAGGCGCCAAATTATAGGATATGCAGAACTTTCATGGGAAATTGTGTAGCATGTGAAGTGTGGGAAGTGACTTTGAACTTAAATTAATATTCAGAGTCTTTGGGGAGCTACACATATCAATTTTCCCGCAGAACTTCAATAATTGATTAGATGTGTGTTAAGGAATAGTTGTGAAGATTCAGAGCTAGTGAAACCACTTGTCCTCCAGTTCAAAATATTTCCTGTAAACTTCAGACAGGCATGCTAACCACATGAACATCTAGCGCTTTTGCATATGGGACGACTCTATACCATTGAAAATATCAGCGAAACCGAGTCGTCTAACATCTCGACTGAATAGGACAACATTATGTAATATGAAGACCATATGATATCGTTTGAAAGAGGTTTCAAGAACGTGAGGAACTATTTTTGTGCTGAAACACACACAGTCGACAAATCATACAGAGCCAGTCTCAATTGGAATTGTAATAATTCGGTGTGCAAACAGGCGCGAGCTGACTTTGAGTGTTGGCGCCTGAGGAAAAATGTGAAACACCTTCAAGTTCAATTGATGTGGAAGAAAGAGGCATGTTTAGTGAATTATTACCATTTTGCACCAATAAAAGCGAATACGAGCGCGCGTGCATCCACCCAGCGAGTGTTGCTATTCCATTGAGAAATTATTTTGCGAGTCTTCACCATCAATTAATTATAGCTCAGGCGTCTCCATTGACCTCTACGGCACTTGGAAATGCTCTTCCACATGAAAATCATAATTCGTTCAATGCACCGCTCCGTCACATGTCACGCCAGAGCGACTGAAGCCCCCAGTCACTCCCCCCGCACGCTCCCCTGAGGGAGGGGGGTGAAGGGGTGCGAGGGCTGGGGGAGTTTAATTTAAATTCATAGATCCAGATGAAGACAAAATACTTGGGGATCAGCAATGCTTCACTGTCCGCTGCACTGCTTGCATTTTTGTTTGCAATTCAGTTCACCTTCAAGTCACCCCCACGCTCATTGCACCCTCTGACCCCGAGGGTGAAAAACACTCCTCGAACTCTCCCCTCACACCACCCTTCATTGCATCTAATGTGCATCCACAGTCGCGAAGCTATCCACGATAGTTGGCGAAGAATAATTCCTTCACTGAGAGAAAATGCAGAAAATTCAGATAGCAATTGACTCTATTAGTCGTTCATTGCCTGCATTGTTTGCAACTTATATTCCATCTCTAGTGCTTAATATGTTATTGTTTCCCACTCTGATGCTTTTGCCCTGAAAAGGCGCACAATGGAAAGGGACTGGAATTTCTCTTAAGATGGAATAAAAGATTCAAAAGCTCCTTTTGACCTTGGCGAGAGGTAAGCTCTGTCCAGGACTCACTTTCCTCCTCTCAGTCAGGAGAAGATTGACGTCATAAGTTATTCAGGTCACGAAGTACGCATATGCCAAATTTCAGCCCTTATCCGGACCCCAGAGATCTTGACCGGATTTGAGCCATTAAGTGCTTAAAAACGTAAACCTTGACTCAAATCGACTTTTTCTCGCAGTGCATCTCTCATGCTTGCCTGATTATTCCCCACAGTCGCAATTGAAGGTGTATTTTTGTCCACCGAAACATGGCAATTCAATTATGGTAATATCCCATGTGAAAACAAATTGATAAAACAAATCAATTTGTGGAGAAAATTGCCTGAGATGAGGCAACATCGCGGTGGCTGTGTGGGTGCATGAAAAAAAAGCTGTCCTCTCAAGTGGCATGAATGCGACGGAAATCTATGGAGGAACATTGACAAAAATTACCGCACATTTTATCAGTCATTCAGCAATTATCTTTTCCGGTACATTATGAACACAGAGTCTATCGTAGTTGTAAACTATCACATCTACTATCATGAACTAATTCACGTACGTGTCACTAAAATAGCATCCAAAGCGCGAGCATCCGATGGAAAAGCCCGTTTGTACTTGAGATATTATTTGCTTCAATTGTTAAGATATGGACGCTTGCAAGATTTCATGATATTGAATTGTTGCCCGTAGTGAAAATAAACACGAAAAAAGTGACGACATAGAGGCAAATAAAATGAAAACTGTGCACACATATTGAATTCAATGTCACTGTGAATAATTACACTTTTTTTCGTGCGAGGAGGGAAGAAGAAGAAGAGGAGAAAAAAGAAACATTTAATTTGATTAAGAGTCGAGAAAAATGTCACGCTCGGATAGCCCAAGATAATATTTCGAGATTTGCCCTTGAACTGATATCTGAAATAAAATAAAAATCCCCATCGCGCAGTTACACTATATCGGCGAATTTCTTCTCGTTTTACCAACATCAAAAGTCAATGAGTATGGAAATCAATTAGCTAAATATTGTGTGCGGTTTACAGAGGCGAAACTTATCGCGGGCATAGCCATTAGGTTTGGTGCGAAGCACAATTAAGAGAGTTTGCAAGCGAGATAAAAATACAAAACTATTGTAAACGAGTTAATTGAAAAGAACTAACCTATTGATTTTCAGTTGAACAATGCATTCAAATTTAGCACAAGTCGAAATGAGTGAGTCTTCTCAATCACGATTCTCTTATATTCCACTGTATATATTTTTGTGTTATTACTTACAATTTGTATTTATTGTTCTTACGATAAATCAGTTCGTTCTGCTTTCAACATAAATTAACACTTTCTCGCCCAATTGGGTTTGCAGCTTCAGCCAATCTTCTCTTAGTCAGAATTTTAGATTTCTTATCTTTATGCTGTTTATCTTTATGTACTCTTAAATGTGTTTTTAGTGGTATTTTTTTAGTTAGAGATTTTTTTCCTTGCTCCTCCTTTATATATATACTTTCGCAAATATTACAACAGAATTATAAAAGTAGAAAAATACAAAAAACACTTTCGATTACGCGTATTTTACACCCTTCATTCAATTTAATCATAAAAAAATGAAACGTCGAAAATCCTCTAAATTCACTACTTTTTATCTCGAATTATTTTTATACTTTCTTACTTTAATTATGTATTATTTTCTTGGAATTCCTTATTTTATCTCATAACACACACTTTGCTTTTACTCTTCTTAACTCTGGCGGATTTCGGCTCAACACTTTTTTTTAATCGTCGTTGGCGATGAGAATTTAAACTGAGATGGTGTCAATTTTTTTCTTCTTCTTCTCTCAACTTTTTGGAAGAAATCAAATCAAAGTTATACTTTGGTCACAATAATGATAAGAGAAAGGAAAGAAAACGCGAATTTCTCCCGTGCAGATTCTCAACCGCGAACAACCGGAGAATTGAAGAAGTGAGGAAAATGTGAACTTGACGCAACTGACTTTAGTGTTGGATATTTGAACTGGAATATTTGCTCTATTGTGGGTAACTTCTCCAAAATTTATAATGAACTTGTAAGTAGTAAGAGCTCTGCGTGCGTTATATTCGGTCGGTTGACGGTACAGTATTGCGATGAACTCCCATGTCGATACCCGCTTTTAATCTCACGAACACGAGCACGAGCGCCTCTCGGTCAGCTTTTCGTTCGCCGACTGGCTAGCTGTCTCACTCGCGCGCGCGCGTTTTCCCGCTTTCGCCATCCCGCTCGCTTTTCACCCATGCTCGCCATATCGTTCGCCCTGCACGACCGTACTACCACTACACATAGTGATGTGTCTATTTACGTGAAATGGGAAACACACGGCAGAATGGGCCAGAACATGAAATGTCTTCAGTGATCTTGGCCATTTCATCACACTGCATTCTTTCCCAATCGCGCTGCAGAGCCTCATTTCGAGAATGGCCCTTTTTCCGGTCCCAGAAACCTCGGTCACGTACTGGTCCTCCTCGTACATGGGCAGGAGATCCGGCATCTCACTCCCACTCGCGCTGCGCAGCATGACTCCGACTCGCTCGGCCCCCGATATGACGTCAGAGGTAGGCGAACGACGTCATCAGAGAAATGAATGTTCGCACGCTCTATATTTGGGAAGAGAATTGTCGAATGGAGGGCAGAATAAATTTGTGAAAATCCTGCCACACAGCACTTGATGTATCGCCAATCGTGAGTCCTACATTTGCGCGTGGAAGGAAGGAGTGTAAGGAAGGAACCCACCGAAGGTCCCCGCATGAAATTTGTTTTGGGAACTTATTGGAAAAAATAAATACGGTCAAATGGGAAAAAATCGTAAAATCACACACGAAATTGCCTTTTTTCTGGCTCCTCATCGCACCAAAATGCCATGAGATGCGAGATTTTTTTTTCTTTCGGATTGTCTGCCATTGAATACCAAAATGAGAACCCACACCAAGAGTACGGGATGGAAAACAATATGCCCTCTTGAGTGAGATTGTGGCTGTGGAAAGAAAAACAATCGCGCGATGTTCCTCATTTCGCCGCCCCACACTCCCCTTATCGATTGGTGCTGGTGTGTTACATAATTACGGAAATATGGGGATATGCCCCATGCAACATCATGCAAAAGTATACTCGTGGCAGAAGTGGAGGGTGTACAACACCTTCGGCAGCTTTCCGGTCACAGTGGCGGAGCTTGTGCGGGTGAAATATTCATGAGATGATGAACGCTAGGGGTGGGCCGAAGTAATGATTTTCCACAGAGTGGGGAAAACGTCTAAAAATGTAGGCTAAAGAAGGTATCCCAGATCTTGGCATAGAATCGCGGTTAGGTGACGTCACACGTCAGGGACGTCGCCATGGCAACGCATCCTTCCATCCAACTCGATAGCATAGTGTGGCAGCGAAGCCCGTTTGCCTCTTGCGAGTACAACAAACTGGGCATGACCGATTTGTACATTATGTACATGCCCCATGTACGCTGTCTCTGCTCTGAGCATCCGTCAGCGGGTGGTGCAGGGAAGTGCTGTGCGTGGGCGAAAAAAGAGATGCTGAACTACATATTCACTGGGTGAAGAGCTTTCGGAGCTTTGCACGGAGCATGACATCTGCACAAACGCCGTTGAGACTTTTCAAGGGAAAATTTTCATTGCATTGACAGCTTTGGCGATATATAGAATTTCAATGTCAATTTTACCTTAACAAATTCACTGATTGTGGATCGAATATTGCCAAAGAGTCAATGAAAATTTAATGAATTTCTTTGGAAAACTGAATTTTATATACTTTCACGTGAACAGCGACGTGCCGCGTAATCTCAATGACTTGTGGCGTAACCCTCTTCAGTCTTTCGCAAATTACACTTAAATCCATCAAATCATTTGGCTGGAATATGAATTTATCATCACAAATAATCCTGCAGAGATCAAAGTGTCGCTTTCCATGTCTGAAACAACCTCAAAGCCCGGGGAGGGTTAGCTTCAGTCACCGTTTGAAGAAATTACCAAGAACTGGGTCAAGTTTCCACAACGAAAGAGAATTCGATTAGGATGACTTTTGATAATCTTCCCCTTTACAGTGTTTCATTGAAAAAATGATAATGAAAATAACTTGGTGATTATCATAATAGGGTCAGAAAGACGTTACTTTGAAGAAGCAATTTCGAAAAATCAATAGCTTCTGCAGGAAACATGAAACACTAAAATGTGCTAAAATGTGTCGAAAAGTCTCTCACAGGCAAACCTTTATGGTAAATTGTGTGTAAGTTAAGTTTAAGACTCTCAATATGCTATTGTGTTTTAAATTGAATAATTTTATAGGCAGAAATTCTCATTTTTCCTCGGAAATAAAGTAGCTTTTAGTTATGTGTGTCTGAAATTAACTAATAAAACTCTAAAGACAAGATCTTCAAAAAGTTATTGCATTTAATGTAATAAAGTTTTACAAGTTTGCAAATTCAATTTAAATTCTGACAGTCCGCTGACATCTCGCTGTCCGGGAAAAAATCAAAGTCATTACATGTACGTAATTATTCATACGCATATATTTAAATTTGTAACAGTGAGAGATAAGAAAGTTATTGCTGTTAAGGAAATGTAATCTTTGGATACTGCTGACAGTCTAATTTTCCGCATAGCGATTCGAGATAGAAGATGCGAATAAATGTAGAACATAAATGGTGCTATAAAACTGTGGCGTGCACTATAAAACCGCAGGCTTTTCCACCATACTAATTGACTCTTTGATTCTCCATGTATCGTCTGTCGAATTAGGACGCCAATCGATGGCAATTTGGGCTGATGTCTCAAGAACCAGAAGCCACACTTACTGAATTGCCCAATAAATATATCCTAATTGCATTGGAGCCGAGGGAATTCTTTCAGATTGTCAATTTCAGATAATATTCTGCGCCGCAAGAAAATTGAAATACGCCGTATTTCAGTGGAGCATGACGCTAGCAATGCACGTCAATCAAATTAAAATTTCAGGATCAAGTTTTGATTGAAAAATGTCCGTTTTGCAGTGAAGTGAGAGCAGTGGAGGAAAACTATAGTACAACATTTCGCTCTAACTTGCAAATACCGAGGCAAATACATTGCATGTCAACATCTTTCGGTTGTTGTCTTGTCAAAATGAAATAAAGTAACAGCCTAAATTTAAAACCTCACTGCATGCAAATTTTTTTTACTGACTATTCTCGCATATGTATGCAAATAAATTTCCTTTGAGTCGCATTTTCATTCAAATTGATAAATCAATTTATACAAAAAAAAACAGGTAAATAGTGGTAGACACTGGACGAATAGTGTGTAATCTTTTCATTTTGGTTTGTATCCTTTGTCGTTCATCATGCAGTATAATTTTTAAGTATGTTTACATGACTTTAACACAAATTTCATTACTCTTTGTTTCACTCCACCACTCCATCGGCAAACATGAGTAACACTATTTATTTGTATAATCAACACACCGTCGTAATATGCAGACGTTCACCTTTTCGCTAGCAATGCACGAATAATAATAAAAACACTTTTACTCTTGAATTTTTCTTTCAAGATCATCACGAGTATTATGAAATTATTGTTTTTTCCATTGTGTGCGAAATGCATGTGTGACGTCTGACGTCGATGGTGAATGATCATTAGAAAATGATTTTTTATTGAATTACAAATTGCAAGAAATGAAAACATGCCAATTTAACAATAGGAGATCCACGAGCACACTTTTGAGAATTGATTTTTACTTCTCTCCCATCTCGCTTGAAGCTATTCATGGTGGATGCTAAACACCACACAAAAGAAGCATTTGAGACGAGGCCAGAAGACAATAGAACATGATTTTTTGCAGCTTCTAATTTATTCTCGTGCAGAGAATGCAATTAAATGGACTGAAATTCACAATGAAATTAGATTATTGCTGAAATAGTGCAGTGAAGCTGAACTGTATGGAGCGTATTGAGAAGAGAATGACAATAATTGGTGAATTGACAGAAGTAAATTGCATTAGACAAATTATGGTCTCATTTGTTTATGGTAGTTTCAATATAATAAATATTTAAAAGGTATTAGTTTAATAACCCAACTATTAGGTGGAATAGATGAGATGCAAGCACGCATAGAGAAACGCGTGTAATGTTTTACAGAGACTTGCTTTGCCGCTATTGAAAGGTAACAAACTCACACTGTTTTTGCATCATAGCCAGAAATATCGTTTTACAGATAAATGGAATAGATCATAAATGTATGTATTTCCATCTATGAGCACTTCATTAAAATAATTTACGCTTGAGTGAGAAAATTAGATATATCGCGAACTCTCTCATTTACCATTCTAAATATGACATTATCATGTGGTAAACAAATAATTAGATACTGTATTTAACTATGTTACCACATAAAGTGAAAATGCGACTTTCAGAATTGGGGCAAAATTTTAGGAGAAGCATGTTAAATTCAAAATTACATTTTGGCAATGCTGTAATTATGAATGTGGGAGAGATAATATTAAAATTTCCACTCTTTTTTATTTCAACAATGGCCCTAATCACAAAATAAATATTACTTTAATACAAATTGCCCAGTAATTATAATCAACACTGAGTGTTTCATTGGCACGAACATTATCTCAAGTCTGTAAATTTATACCGAAAGAAATCAATTCTATACGTATTTGATAAGCATCATTTGATTCTATTCATCTGCTAATAAATTTATTGGAGGACATCAGCACATTTTCTGAGGACTCTCCACTTACGAGTTCTCTCAAGCGAACCATCTCTCAGCAAATTGTCTAATGAACCATTGAAGATTGTTTAAGGACTTGAGCCCAAAATGACCTTCAGTCACGTGAAGAGAATTTTCGGTTCTCTTTATATATATTTTCAGTGTCTCTTCGCCAGCACGATTCGCCACAAATTCCTCCACTTAATAACATAATGCAATTTTGGCAAAGCACGAGGAAGGTGGTAAATTTGTACCAACACAATAAATCTGAAACTTTTTATACGTGTGGTGTTTTTCGTGAAATTGAACAGGTAACAAAAAGGAAAAATCTGGTAGAAAATTTTTCTGCCACAAATCGATTGAGATACACGAGTTTTCGTACATAAATATCCCAATTTTATGG